TCAATTCATGCATCACCTAATTTCATCATAACGTATAGGCCTGGCCTATAGAAAAGAACATTTATGTTTAATCTATCTAATATTGTGTTGGTCATACTATACAATGATTTATAGCTTGCCTTTGTTGAATAATACAGCTTTAAAAAATAATTGCATATTAAATCGCAATCGCAATATTGGTAAAAAAAAAAAAATCGCAAGTAGATTATTTTCCAAAATCGTTCAGTCCTAGTAAATACCCTGTGAGGGACCACCTTCCTCCATCAATTTTAATGTATACATAGAGATATTTATTCTGTAGAAAAATTAAATATTAAAAAAACAAACAAACAAAAAAATTATACAGAATATTAAGTTTATATTAAGGTGTCATTTTTTATGTACATATTTATTTTTTATTTATATATTTATTTTATTTTATTATTATTTATTATTTTATTTTATAGCATTTTTGTATAAACTGGATGTGAATCAAAACATATAATGAAACAATTGTGATTAATCTCATGATTTCTTAACAGTTTTTAGAAAGTAGAATGAAACTGTAATAATTCCTCTCTTTTTTACTTTATTTTTATCTGAACTGTTGCTCAGATTTATAAGATACCAAAGTCTGCCACCCAAACATTGATTACCAAGAAACACACAACTCTATCCACATTTATTCCATAGCTCTATACTCCTGCTGTGCTTTATGTCATGGATTATTTCTGTCTATTTTTATTTCTCTTCAGAAATTTATGCACATCTCAGACAAAAAAAAAAAACTGAAAAGTCTCTAGAGCTGTGAAAGAGCAACCTGTGAGCAATAAAATATTCCTCTGGGTCAGCTCCTTTTCTGATAGAAAGTGAGAAATTCAGACTTAAACTATGATGCATTTGAAAAAAAAAAAATAGTTTCATTAAATTGTGAGAGCATGCACTGTGGAAAACTGTTCGCAGCCACACACCCCTGCACTGTATAATGCTGCAAAAAGGAGTTAGCGGGGAGGTTAATTCATCAGCTTTTGTCCTGATTTCTGCCGACATTAACAGTTCACACATCCACCGGAATAAATGGAACCAGCAAGTCACATGCAAGCCAACACAGAGACGCTATTGTGTGAAGCAGTTTGCGTCTGTTGATTCATAAACGATGGTGCTCTATGGTTCACATTCAGCTATTTACTCCTCGCTAGCAGGCAGAACTGTGACCAGAGGAGTCCAGTTATACTTTTCTCTGCTGTCTTTTTCGCTCATGCTCTGATTTTAAAATGGTTTATGATCATCCTAATTCAAAGTGACTTCTCGTTTGTTTCTTTGGCCCAATTAAAGCATGTCAAATAAATGCCCTTAAGACGATGCGCTGACAGACTGCTATGACCACTGCTCTTCTTGCTAGAGAGACCGCCTTACAGAGCCTCTTTTGCATAGATGGTTTTAGGAAAGAAAGAAAATTACACATTGATTTTAAAATAACCATGAAAAAGAACCATCAAGTACTAAAATATTAGAAACGATCATCCAAAAATCATCCTAATAATAATTCTGAATAGCTGTATATTCTTGACACAAATCTCTTTAGCATCATTGTCTCTCATCCAGTTGTATCTGAATGACAGTTCTTGATGTTTAGATGCATGTCTGTTTGCTAATTGTGCGGCTCAGTCGTTTTCCGCACACACTCTTCAGCTGGAGAGGCGCCGCACAAACAAGCTCACTTCAGTCACTTCAGCCTGCACTCGTAATCAAACGGGGTATTTGTTTATAAATCACACAGTATTTATGGGGACTTAAGAGGCCTGTCTTTAGGCCTAAATGCACTGAAGCTCCATGAATAGCCAGTAAACTGCAGCTACAGCTCTCTGGTGTTTCAAGAGTTCTTACAGGGAGAAAATGACAAAACACTGCTTTTGAGAGATTAAAAAAAAAACCACCATGTCCATTTTTGTATAGTAGCAGCAGGTGACCACAGGAAGATCTGAAAACTATTCTGGTCAGAGTCGACAGAATAAGAATCAGAATGAGTAGCTTCAAAACCAGAAACAATATTAAGAGATACAGAATCAGAAGAACTGGTATCAGAATTATACAATTAAAAAATCAGTAGACTGAGAATCAGAATAAACAGATTCAAAACCAGAATCACAAGACTTAAAATTTAAATCAGCAGTTTCAGAAGTAGGAAGGAATAAACAAACAAACACAAATCATCAGAAAAATTTAAAAATCCGGATAATTAGAATCAGTATACATAGATTTGAACTCATAAAATTATTATCAATTAGAAGAATCAGTCAAAATAAATACTTCAAGTAGATTCAGAATTAGAATCAGTAATTTCAAAATCAGAATCAATATCAGTAGATTCAGAATCAAAAGAATTGTAATCAGAAACAAAAAAATTCAAAATCAGAAGAATCTGAATCAGAAAAGTACATTTAAAATTGGAATCAGCAGATTAAAAGTTAAATAATTAGTAGATTCAGAATTAGAAAAAAATGAAGCAATCATTACTTTTAAAATCAGTAAATTGAGACTCCAAAGAATCAGGACACGTAGATTAGAAGATTTGGTCAAAATAAATACTTTAAGTAAAATCAGTCATTTTAAAATGGGTATCAGTAGATTCAGAATCAGAAGAATTGTAATCAGAAACATATAAAATTCAAAATCAGTAGACTGAGAATCAGAAGAATCTGAATCATAAAAGTAGATTCAAAATTTGAATCAGCAAATTAAAAATGAAATTAGTAGTAGATTTAGAACTAGAAAAATAACATTACTTTTAAAATCAATATATTGAGAATTTGAATAATCAGAACACATTAAAACCAGAATCTAAATAAATAAATACATAAATAACAATCAGAAGATTTAGAGGATTCTTAAGAAACAGATTTAGAATCAGAAGAATCAGAATTCAATTCTACCTTGCTGAACTTGTATACACACAAATATATTCATTAACCATTTAATAATTTCCTGGTGTGTACTAATAGCTAGCATACTAAATCAAACATTTGAAGACTACAAACTGTTGCACTTTAGTTGTAACTGCTGGAACTCAAAACTCACTTAACAGTCTAAAACACCACTAATATTTAATTCCTGGCATATACATAAAAAAGTCCAGTATATGCCTCACATCCATGACTGTCATCTTTATCCTTTTAGAGAAAAGCATAAACAAAACAGAAATGAAAAAAGACTGAACCAGGACAGTGAAATAAAGTTTTGAGTGACCTTCACTGAAAAACAGCTCCAGTCTGAGGCAAAGAGATTGCAAGGTTTTAGAAGCATCCACAGGCCTGTTATCTTAAG